TTTTCTCGTCAATCGAAAAAATATTTCTATAAATTCCATTTTTTAACCGAAATGGATGGGGATACTTTTGTTTTGTAGAGAATTTATTTGCGAATTTTTTGGTACCAGAATGAATATTATATCACATAAACTTCTATGAGTAAAAAAAAAAATACACAAAGTATGTTTGGGGGTGTGGCGAGCGTGTGGCAGTGGGTTCCCTTTAGCCATTGATATATCCAACACGTGGGAAATATTTGTATGTTTTATGTATATGTCTGTGTAGGGAATTTTACTGCGATCACTGTCATACAAATTATAAAATGTTTCAACAAGTATAAACATGACAAACATCAAACGAACGAAAACAATGCGTTCGTTTCTGCCGCGAACGCATACTGAGCGACGTGGTTCTATATTTGGCGCTTCTCTTACACATGCTTTGTACAAATGTTATACAGTTCATCTTATAGAAAATTTTATTGCGAACACATTGGTATAAAAAAGAAATACGTACATAGAAAAGTAGGGTCAGGAAACGTATAAATGTATAAACTTTCCAAGCATGATTGTGTTTTCGCCAGTGCGCTCGCGGCTAACTACTCTCCACTTCACACACTCTTGCGGGTGGGCAATTACCTATATTAAACATTCATATGCATATGTCCGTGTAGAGAATTTTATTGCGATTCCAATGATACCAAAATTAGCGATGTAGGACAACTGTAGGCTTCGCAACCATTAAGAGAGTGGAAACATTTTGTTGCTGTTTGGCGCTCTCGGCGAGTGATCTGCATAGTTTTTTATTTGGTGTTGATACTCCTTATGCTTGGGCGGCATTTTATAGGTATGCTCTTACAGACAATTTCATTGCGAACACAGTGATACCAAATTTAAATACGTGCGCCTTCAATTATTGTCAGGACAGTCAAAAGAGAGTACACTTTTTCGGTCTTACCGCGTAGGCGCGCGAAGTGCCGAAAGCATCTGGGGTATTTTTTTTTTTTGAGCGCCGAGAGCGCGAAAGTGTTAAGGGGCCAGGTTCTGGCGCTGGTCCCTGGTAGGTCTGAACTGCATAGCTAATGTCCCGGTCTAACATAACATACATTAGCCCGATATGCTCCAGGGAGCCTCCTGGGCTCACCCAGAAAATGGCGTTTCATTACATTCAACGCTGGTTTTTTGGTGTCTGAACATAAAAGTTCTTATTATACAGGCATACCTCAGTTTAAGAGTTTAATTGGTTCCTGGAGACGCCTCATATTCCGAAAACTCGCATTCCGAAGCTAATTTCCCCATAAGAAATAAAGGGAAATGAATTAATCCGTTCCTGACTACCCCAAAAACCCCACATCAAACTAAATTTTTATACCTAATTCATCTAAATAAACCTACAAAACTATGTTCAAGTTATTACTTACCTTGCTGTTGAATGACGTAGGCGTATGGAAGATGGTGAGGAGGTGGGAGGAAGAGAGGAGTTACTGTTTGGAAGGAGAGTCCCCTTCCATTATCACATCAGGCAGTGAGGACTTCACTGGTATGCACACTCTGGCACATTTTGCCTGCATACCACTAGGACTTGCTTGTTTTACTAAGAATTTGTCTAATGACACTTGTTTTTCCCTACATTTTAACACTTGTCTGTACTAAGACATCACATTATCATTTAAAAGGTCAATGCAACGGCCTGCTACAGCTTTATCTGGGTGAGTTTTTTCAACAAAACTTTGCAGTTCTTCCCATACTTCACACATTTTCTTAATCAAGAAGGGACATCCTCTACTGCCTCTACTCACAGCTATTTTCTTAGGTTGAACCTTACCAATGGCTTTCTTGAGACCCATGGCAAGATATATAATGACAACTTTTATGCTCAAATGGCCAAAAAAAACGATAAAAAACTGTAAATCCTTGTGAAGAATTCAGGTGGGATAGTCACTGGACACGAGACACTGGTAAACTAAGGCGCGATCGCCATGCCACCACGCGCCAGTCGGCCTGTACACGTATCGACAAACTCGCGTCCCGAGGTAACCCTCGCCTTCCTAGACATATTTTTGGAGTAAATTCTGCTCGTCTTCCAAAAAACTCGCATACAGGGACACTCGCATTCCGAGGTACCACTGTATATCTATCACATCAAGAAAGTCAGTGGTAAAGTTCTACCTAAGAAAATAATTGAGGATGACGATAAAGGAAAAACAAGAGATCATTCATAATGAGCCAATGTAATGTCTCACCACAGACAAGTGTTAAAATGTAGGGAAAAACCAAGTGTCTATAGACAGATTCTTAGTAAGACAAGCAAGCTGTGAGCCACAACCAGGTCCTAGTGGTATGCCTGCAAAACGAGTACTGAGAGAGAGAGAGAGAGAGAGAGAGAGAGACAGAGAGAGAGAGAGAGAGAGAGAGACAGAGAGAGAGAGAGAGAGAGAGAGAGAGAGACAGAGAGAGAGAGAGAGAGACAGAGACAGAGAGAGAGAGAGACAGAGAGACAGAGAGAGAGAGAGAGAGAGAGAGAGAGAGAGAGAGAGACAGAGAGAGAGAGAGAGAGAGAGAGAGAGAGAGAGAGAGAGAGAGAGAGAGAGAGAGAGAGAGAGACAGAGAGAGACAGAGAGAGAGAGAGAGAGAGAGAGAGAGAGACAGAGAGAGACAGAGAGAGACAGAGAGAGACAGAGAGAGACAGAGAGAGACAGAGAGAGACAGAGAGAGACAGAGAGAGACAGAGAGAGACAGAGAGAGAGACAGAGCCAACCAACCAACCCACCCACCCACCCACCCACCCCAGAAAAGTCATCACTACTGTTATAATGGAACGAGACTCCCCTTCCAAATACTAACACCTCACCTCTTCTCCCCCCTTCCTCACTGTCTTCCATATGCCAACAAGAGTCATTAATAAAGGTAAGATATACCTGTACATACTATAGTATACAATATAACTAGTAGTATGTATAAAATGTTTTTTTAAATTAATATTTTTGGGGATGTGGAACAGATTAATTAAATTTGCATTTTTTCGTATGGGAAAATTAATTTTTTTCAAACCATCTCTGGGAACGGATTAAATTTGAAAATGGAGGTACCACTGTACTAGTAGCCTCAGGGTGCCATCAGGGCTTTCCCAGAAATTTGTGTTTCATTACATTCAACACTGGTTTTGCGTCCAGCAGGCGGCACTGGTAAACACTGTATGCTTCTTTTCCTTGATGTCCTAAGCTGGTGCTTATTTTGTTTAAAGGCAACCCTCAAACCGCTAGGGGCCCAAATGGATTTAACACCTACAGGCGCAACAAAAAAAAAATCCAAAAAATTCTTTCGTCTTATAGAAGTGTTCATTTTTGTTCCCTGATCACGGAAAAAAAAAAAAATCATAGGTGACATATTTTAGCCGCAATAGGGTAGGGAAGTCAGACAAAAAAGGGGCGTTGACAGAGCCTTCGCCAGACGAGGTCTACTCCGCTCGAGCTGTCAGGCGGCAGTTGCCACAAATATATTATTACTTAATTATTTCAATGTCTGATTGATTTTTTCTTATTTTTTTGCAGTAATATTATTCAATACAGTGAATTGTGATATATTTATATAATAAAATGTGTGAACCATTACTGTACTCAAAATTATGGTGTGCATATTAGTGAATCAATTATGTTCATAAAACAATAAACAAATAGTTTTGCTGCTGTTACACTATATACACAGGTTATATATAAGTATTTGCATTTTTTGTTCACCATAACGAACCACTAAGTTGGTCTATAGTCAAAAAGCAACGAGGAGTGACCGCCACACACCAACCAGCCACTCACTGCTACTCCATCCCTCAACAATGCCTCACTTGCCCTCATTCTCCTCCCACAATACTGTTTTTGCATTTATTCACTATACACAGACGTTATATATAAGTATTTACATGTTCACCATAATTGTACATCTAAGCTTGTATGGTGAGTAAAGACATGAAGACGTAGCTACTCACACAGTCAGCTGGTGGCGGCCGCCCTCAAGGGCAGATGCACTAATATTTCTCCTCCAACAATATTGTTTGTGGTGTTATTATGCTATATACACACACACACATTATATATAAGTATCTACCTGTTTTATTCACCATACCTGTACAAATAAGCTGGTATGGTGCCTAAAGACCATAGTGGCCACCAGTAAACAACATGGTAAGTCGTGCAGACGACACACCTCCCTCACCAAAATGGCGGCTCCCAACCTACTCCTATTGCTGTTATCACACTCTATACACACGTTATATATATATATATATATATATATATATAAGTATCTACATTTGTGTTCACCATAGCGAACCACGAAGCTGGTATGGTGAGTGCAGCCAATAAAAGGTGGCCACACATAGTCATAAGACGACGCAACCACCCTTCCTCCCACAGCCTTACTCCTCCCTCCATGGAGCACAGCGCTAAATATCACCACAATCCTGCTATTATCAGAATCCTGGTCAGTTTTATCACAGTTGGGGGTCTTCTATAATACTATCATTGCTAAGTAATAGCATGATCATATGGATTATGGCATTTTTAGGCGATGCTGTGGTCAAAAGCTGAACAGCGGTGCTGTGAGCTCGTGCTGTGTGCGCCAGCCTTGGTGGCTTGCTTAATACTGAAGCTCTCACACCCAAGAATGTTGGCCTGGATTTTTTTTCTAGGTGGCATCTGGCAATTATCGGTCATGGCTACACTATAGCTGCCCCTATCCCAGGCGGGGCATTTAAATTATAGTGCTAGACACGAAATCATATATATATATATAACATGCGTGGTTTTGGTTTTGCCACTGAAAGCATATATATATGATTTGCGCGGTTTAAGGGTTAATGGCAGATCTCTGATCCAGTTTTGCCTGATGCCTTATTTTGATAATTGCTTGCTTATGTTCAAGTACTTTATGCTGGAAAAAAATTGTTTACACAATATATTAAGGTGGATATTTTCAAGAGTTTTGTAAATCTTAAATATGTTTTAATTAATATTTTAAATTTGCAGATATGGTCTTTGGGACATGCTCTGCACTACCCTGTCCTTGGAGAGGTGCTTCGCATCATTCAGAATGGACTTCTGAGCTTCGCATTATTTGTTTGTAATTCTTTGCCATTTGTTGCATGGTTTTATCGTTGGCTAGAAGTAAACATTCTGAATATTGTAATGTACTTGGGTTCACTTTACAAAAGAGCTCTACATGGTCTTTTAATTTTATTCAGAATTAAACAATCTTAATGTGAAAGCTTCTTTTGTCAGAGTATAATAAGAATACTGCACACATAATACAAACCAAAACTCTTGAATTGTAAACTGAACAATTATTTGTTATATTTGACTATTATTTACAGATCTTAAACAGCATGATGCAACATAATATTGTTATTGATATATATTTCTGGGGGAAGGCCCATGTAAGACCCTGAAGCTATTATCACTTATAGTGTGCCAACTACTACATCACATTTGCTGCAGAGTCCTATGTGGCCTACATAGAACCAGGTTCGGATCCTGTGGCATTCTACGTAGAACCAGGTTCTAAACCTGACTACATCTGGTTCTACATAGGACCAGGTTCTGGCTCATGGTTGCCTACGGGGACCATGAGCCAGAACCTGGTCCCCCCTCAGAGACACAGGGAGCATTGGCATTTATTTATTATGCCACCACTAATAACAGCACTCAGAAAGTCAATACAACAAAACAAAAACCAAGAAGTTGGCTTTAGAAGGGACCGAAGCCTCGAGAATTGCCAGAAGAACTCCCCCCCGAAACAATGTAAACAAATTATTGATTTTTTTTTAAACTAGCTTCAGATTGTTCGACTCGCCTTCCCCACTTGTTTTGGGGAAGGGGAAGTGGCTTGTGGTCAGCCAGCAACACCACCCTCAGTTCTATGCTGATGTGTTCAGTGTGTGCATGGTTGCCTCTCTGGTGCTTAGGCTCCAGTGTTGTGCTTTTGTATTGATTGTTTTGTCTTGTGGGCATTCCTCTGTGCAGTGTTGCATGACATTTTACATTAGAGTACTTGGAGCTGCATGAGGTGTTGGATTCTCTTCCCTGTGTGCTTCATTGTGATGCCCTGGCACTTCAGGGTTATCTTCCCTGAGATGTTCAGGAATTGCTACCTTGGAGGTCCTCCTTGCTTGTGGTAGCTCTCGCCCAGGCGGAGTTGTGTGTCCTCCAATTTTCCTACCTTTACTCGGGTCAGGAGTATCATTGGCTGGTGTGGGGGTACGCTGTATATTTGCATGCTCGGATGTTTACACGCCATGATGAGGTAGGTCTTCCTAGTCACCGAAGCCAGGCTGTCTTGGCTTACTGTGTCGTTTCTATACTTTCAATTAGGAACACAAAAAAGAAAGGTATACTCCAGACAGGATATATTTCTTTTGAATAGAACCAGTGGCACATTTTTTCCTCGGGTCTAATGTAGCATCCCAGTGCTTGGGTATCTCACTGTGTCAATTCCTTCAGGCCTTGGAAATGCCCTGCAGGTTCAGTGGTCTTTTGGTTTGGACCCGGCTGTTCCTGCACTCGCCTTATGTGAGTTTCAGGGTTGCTCCTCATACTTTCCACCTGATGCCGTTCAGTCTGTCTGTCTCCTGAGCTGCCTGTTGAGTCAGTGACACCCTCGACCCTGAGTCATGAGGGGGGGTTTTATTTCCCATATGGCTCTTGTGTTGGCTCTCTTTGGTGGGACGTGGTCAGGCAGTGACCACTTTGTGGCTTCAGTCTGGGTTGTGCCCGGTTGGTTGTCTTGGAAATGTCCCGTTGGTGGTTATGGACCCCTGGAATTAGAGATATTGGGTAACTTTTCCCGAGGTTTTGGCCACCCTTCCTCTTCCTTCCCTTCCAGTTCGGGTTCGCCCTCTCTCTCTCTTTTTTTTTTTTGAGATATATACAAGAGTTGTTACATTCTTGTACAGCCACTAGTACGCGTAGCGTTTCGGGCAGGTCCCTGGAATACGATCCCCTGCCGCGAAGAATCGTTTTTTGATCCAAGTACACATTTTACTGTTGCGTTAAACAGAGGCTACAGTTAAGGAATTGCGCCCAGTAAATCCTCCCCGGCCAGGATACGAACCCATGACATAGCGCTCGCGGAACGCCAGGCGAGTGTCTTACCACTACACCATGGAGACTGTCTTCTTTCCCTCCTGTTCTGACCCGGTGACGTCTGAGGGTTTCCTGGTCGGGACAAGGTTTAGTTTACCCAAATTTGGAATGTGGCTCGAGTGGCCTGGGAGTTTCCCCTTTTGATTTGGGCAAACAGTGTGACAAGCAGGCTCAGAGGCAGCTGAGCCTGCTTGTCACACTGGGGCTTCTGGGTGTTCCTTCAGCCAGCCCCTTCTTCCTTGGAAGCCTTTTCCTTGGACTCTGCCTTTCTATTCCAGATGATGAGTATCGACACAGGCTTTTCTCAGGTGCCCTCGTCTGCAGCTTATGGGGCTTTTGGGCAGTCAGGTGTGGGCTCTTAGGTCCTGTTCAACTCGGCATGATTCCTGCAGGGTTGTGGGTTGTTATCAACCCCCTATCTGATTTTTAACGTTTGTGTGCGGCTCTCCCCATGGTTTGGTTCCATGTGCCTTTGGGCCCTATCAGGCTTGTTCTTCCAAAGGTTCTTTCCTCTTAGGTACCTCTTTTGGTGGCTTCTGTGGCTCTTTTTCCTGTTCCTCCTGCAGGGGGTCATTCATGTGCTACGTAGGGGGAGATACATATGGCTTAACTCTGTGTGCTGGGTTGGCCCATTGTTCAGCTACCCTGTTTGCCTTTATTCCCCTGCTCACCACCTCATTCTCCTTGCCTCTTTCTGCAGTGGTGGTGGTGGTGAGGACTCTCTTTGTTGATGGCTATGTTCTGTTAGCTCCTTTTGGTCTTTGTTCCTAGAGGCGGTCATGTGGTATTAGGGCTTCCCCTCCTGTAGACAGGAGGGAGGTTGTCTGTGGAGCCAAATTTTGGTCACTTGAGCTTTCCTTGCCCAGTCCATCTTGGATGGATTTGCATCGGGATCGCCCTGCTCATTTGCTTTGGCTGCTTGTGGGTCTTTTCCTCCAGTTCACACCACCCTTTTGGGGAGATCTTCCCCTCCTGGAATTTTGGGTCCTCCTGGCTGGTTTCTTTGCCTCTGTCGGTTCTTCTCAGATTGGGTGTTGTCTGGCTTGTTTTGCTTGGTTTTCCTCGGTCCAGAACCTGGTCTCTCAGGCCTCCACTTGTACAGTACTTGCCCTTTTGTGATTGGATTTGTGTAAATCCATTTTTTTTTTCTATCCACAAAGGACATTTTAGTTTTCGGTTCCTTGTTCTGGGTTCCCTTTTCCGAGGTTCATGTTATTCCAGGGCGGCCTTGGAGATTTTCTCCCTGGGCTTCTGGGGCAGTTTTGGTTCATTCACCCTTTGCACTTGGGGTCTGGGGGCATTGAGTTTTTCTCTTGGGTTTTCCCCTTGACGAATCTACTCCTCATGTGTTCACCCACTTGGCTCAGCTTTTCTTGCCTTGTCTCTGGTTGGTCTCTCTCATCATCTTGTTGCGTGGGGACCCAGCTGGCCTGTTTGTCTGTTAGCTAGGTTCCTGGTTCTTCCTGACTCACTGGGTTCATGTTTCTGGGTGCAGGCAAAAGTTCCAGGAGGTTCGGTTCTGGGTACGGACTTGGCTTGGCCTTGTTTGGGACACTCCTGTTATTGTTCCCTGCCTCCAGCAGCATACACTCCTGTTATTGTTCCCTGCCACCAGCAGCATTGACCCAAATGTAGTGCCTCTGCTTGTTGGGTTGTCCTAGGTGATGTGATGGTTGCTTAGCTGGCTGTGTGACAGCCATGTCTTTGTCTGTGGCAGTTATCCTTTGGGCGAGGTGGGGCTTCGGAGGTTGTTTTAGTTCTCTGGGGGCGGCCTTTTCACCTCTGCCATGACTTTTGGATGCAGTATTTGTTCACCCAGTGCTGGCTGCAGCTTTGTCAGTTTTCTCTATTGGTTTTTCGGGCATCAGTTTCCTGGTGCCTTCCTCCGTCCTCATTCGGTGTCATCCCGAGCGCCTTGCTCTGGGTTCGGGCTTTGTGTCCCGCTATCTCCGAGCTGCCTTGGGTCATTTGTTTCCTCCCTTTCTTCTGGCTTTCAGTGTGGTTTGGGTAGTTGTGGCCATGTGGTGTGCACTACTGTGGGTTTGGTTTCCCCTTAGTTCTGTTTGCATTGCTCCAGTTCTTTTCAGACTGGTTTCCTTTGGTCCCTACCCCTTGGGGCTGGGCTCTTCACATTGCTCGAATGAAGTTTTAGGGTTTAGTTCTTTCTGAGGTTTACATTCGGGGAGTGCCCACCATCATCGCAGTTGGTCTATCCTGCTTCCATGGTGTGGGGCATCATTTCTGCTTCTTCTGGCCTTGTCATATTCGACCTCCTGAATGTGGATGCTTCATGTCAGCGTTGTTTCAGTGCCTTGTACATAGTGCAGTTCTGCACGTGAGTGAACCTCGCATTTGGTGCCTTTCAGCTGAACCCCCACCCCTTTAGTTGGGGTGGTGGTTCCTGTTCCTTTCTCCCCAGTCCAGCATTTACTGTGTCCTGCCAAGTTGGAGTCTTCCCACTAGTGAGTGCTGTTTGTGGCTTCTTGCAGGCTAGCCCATCCTTCTTGTTTTCGTGCTCTGCCCTTTTTGTGTCTGAACCCAGGTGTTTTCCGGTGGCTCAGCTCCTTCCTGAGGATCAGTCCAGTGATTTTTCTCACTGGTTTGGCCTTTTCTGCTCTATGCTCTGCTGCTTTTCTGCTCTGTGTCTGATCTTCTTGCACGTGGTTCTCACCATGCTTATGGCGTCCTAGTGGCTTCTTTCAAGGTGTGTGGGTGTATTCAGGGGGTATCAGGGCCTTCTTCTTTCACTTGCATTCTTCCTCTTGGTAGTTCTTGTGGTGCTTCACTCACCACTTACTTTCTTTGTTGTTGTTCCTTGGTTTCTGAAGTGGTGGTGCTTTCCTATCTCTTTTGGCTTTTTCTCAACTGGCATCTCCTGCTAAGTGCTGTTGTCTTTTCTTGTGTGGCACTGGCAGAGCCCCTGTAGCTTGTGTTTTGGGTTTATATTTTCTCAGCTCAGTTCTCGGGTTCTCCCTCACCTTGTTCCACCTCCAACCTGTTCATGCATCACTTTTCACTTGTCCCTGTTAGTCTTTGGACCGTGTCCTTGCATTTCCTTGGTTTCCTGTGTCCCCTCTGGTCCATATTTGTTTCTCTGCATTTTTGTTTGGTTTACCTCGCCTACAGTTGTTGGGTTAGGGAGCTTCATTCTCTCCTCTGTTGGCAAGGATGTTGCTCGTTTAGCCCTTCTGGCTGGCTTCATCTGTAGCCGGCTTTTTTTCTTGTCACAAATGATTTGGGTAGCTTTTATATATGGGTCCTATATTCTTGTTACTTGGTTGGCTCAGCCTGGGGTGCTTCTTGTTGTGTGTCCTTTTGAGGCTCTCCACCTTTCTACCTCTTGTTCTGCCTTAATGGGTGCTTTTTGAGTCATTTCAGTTGCCTTGGTCCCTCGTTCAAGGGTCATTTGTCTGTTTCTTTGCAGTGTCCTTGGATCCTACTAGCCTGCAGTCTCACTTCATGCCCTTGCTGTTATGAACTGTGCCTCATTTTCGTCTGTGTTCACTGTGATGTTCTGGGTTGATATTTTGGGGTGGATGTTTAGGTGGTCGACCAGGGTTCTGGTGGCTCGGTGTCTTGTTCCTGTGCTCGGGCCATGGTACCCTTGTTTGGCTTTCAGTCGTGTCTCACAGCACAGTGTCTCCTCTTTGTCCTGTTCCTGTGGTGTTTTCTCCTTCTTGATGAGTAGTAGTTTCCTCCCTCCCACCCAGTGGTTTACTTCTCCGTGGGTAGATAGCTTCAGGGAGCCACAAGGGGTTTCTCCCAGAAAACCAGCTTTGAATGTAATGAAACTCGAATTTCTGGCTGAGCCCCAGTGGCTCCCTGACACCTTCCCTCCAGGTCATCGGGGGGTTTTCTCACATTTACTGACAGTGTTGCTGGCTGATCATAAGCTACATTCCCCTTCCGTCAAACAAGTTGGGGAAATGGGGGAAATCAGCTGGAGATAGTTTCAGAACTTTTCAATGGTTTGTTTACATAGCTGTAGGAGTTCTTCTGGCAGTTCTCAAGGCTTCGGACTGTTCTAAATTCAGCTGGAGTCTTCTGTTTTGCTGACTTACTGCAAAACCTTGTGGTGCCATTAAATAAATATCACTGCTCTCAGTACCTCTATGAGGGGACCAAGTTCTGACTTTTGTTTGCCAAGTTTATATGGCAGTAGGCCATATACGATGGCTCCACGGCTGATGCGATCTAATAGTTGACACACACTGTGTGATAGTAGCTTCAGAGAGCCACTGTGGCTCACCCAGAAATTGGCGTTTTATTACATTCAACGCTGTAGTTTTGTTTATAAAATATTGATTGCAGTATCGTTTTGCAAATGAAAACAAAAAAATATTAATATAGTAGCGGAAAAGAACAATGGCTGATGCGCAATTTTATACATTTGTTTTATATATAAATATGGTTATATGTACAGTGCATTGTCATTTTAATTTACTCACAAGTATATATATTTGTATTATTTAAAATGTATATACAAGAACATACAATGGGTTGCACTGCAACAAATTTTGATGATGAATTGAGTACATTGCCAAAACCACTATGATGTATAACATTTCCTGCAAGTCGTAAAGTTACTCAAAATTTATAGTGAATTTTAAGGTACAATGTGAAGAGTCAATCTTAAAGAAATAAAGTTAGTGACCAAGGTATACACCCAAGGGTACAGAGAAATAAAGCTAGTGACCAAGGTATACACCCAAGAGTACAGAGAAATAAAGCTAGTGACCAAGATATACACCCAAGGGTACAGAGAAATAAAGCTAAGTGACCAAGGTATACACCCAAGGGTACAGAGAAATAAAGCTAGTGACCAAGGTATACACCCAAGAGTACAGAGAAATAAAGCTAGTGACCAAGATATACACCCAAGGGTACAGAGAAATAAAGCTAGTGACCAAGGTATACACCCAAGAGTACAGAGAAATAAAGCTAGTGACCAAGGTATACACCCAAGGGTACAGAGAAATAAAGCTAGTGACCAAGGTATACACCCAAGGGTACAGAGAAATAAAGTTAGTGATCAACATATTCATCCAAGGGTACAAATTTTTCTAAAAAGTGTGTGTTTGAAGGTGGGACAAAATTATGAATAGTGACATTTGTTATATCCAAGAGCAAATAAAATGAACAACAAATAAAATTAATTACCAAAGTAAAACAGGAAATTGACAATTCAACCAACACACAATGCTATGAAATGTTAAGCAACCATGAAGTTGTATAGTTTGAGGACATTATCATGGTAAGTGTGAATGTTTTGTGTGTTGTGTTTACGCTTACACTGACCACTCACCACAACTGAGAGGTGTGTTAAACTTCACGTAATTAATTAAATTGAAATACTGAGCATAATTACTTCCTCCACAGATGTCACAATTATTTCATTTATGTGGCTGGTTCTGGGAATGGCAAACTACCCTAGATTGACTGACAACGAGCAAGGTAATCTGACCCAGACTGGCTGATGCTGGGATAGTAAAGTACACAGGACTGGCCGACCCTGGGTAAGGTAAAGTACACAGGACTGGCTGACCCTGGGTAAGGTAAAGTACACAGGACTGATTGACCCTGGGTAAGGTAAAGTACACAGGACTGGCCGACCCTGGGTAAGGTACAGTACACAGGACTGATTGACCCTGGGTAAGGTAAAGTACACAGGACTGGCTGACCCTGGGTAAGATAAAGTACACAGGACTGATTGACCCTGGGTAAGGTAAAGTACACAGGACTGGCTGACCCTGGGTAAGGTAAAGTACACAGGACTGGCTGACCCTGGGTAAGGTAAAGTACACAGGACTGATTGATCCTGGGTAAGGTAAAGTACACAGGACTGGCTGACCCTGGGTAAGGTGAAGTACACAGGACTGACTGACCCTGGGTAAGGTAAAGTACACAGGACTGACTGACCCTGGGTAAGGTGAAGTACACAGGACTGACTGACCCTGGGTAAGGTAAAGTACACAGGACTGGCTGACCCTGGGTAAGGTAAAGTACACAGGACTGGCTGACCCTGGGTAAGGTAAAGTACCCAGGACTGGCTGACCCTGGGTAAGGTAAAGTACCCAGGACTGGCTGACCCTGGGTAAGGTAAAGTACACAGGACTGGCTGACCCTGGGTAAAGTACAGTACCCAGGACTGGCTGACCCTGGGTAAGTAAGGTGAAGTAAACAGGACTGACCAGGTGTTGGTGGGTGTGTAGAAGGCTCTGGTCATTATGTAGAAACACTACACATACAGTATATAGCCATAACACTTATACAGTATATTAGTGGAAAAACTTTACAGCCAATAATTACTTTATCATAAATTAGAGTTTATGCAAGAATTATAATTACATCTGCAGTGTACATTGTTTGGTCAAGTGGAGTTGTGTATTGGTACTCAACTAATTGTCCAGGTTGTGTATCTGTACTTGTTGCAAGTTTTCTTAACTTTTTATATGTACTAAATTTTTCTGCCACAGCATGTTAAGGGTGGCTGCATGAAACATTACACAGTAGCTGACTGAAAACAGACTTATCCATGCCTGCTTAATGGCAAAAATTATAGGTTATGATTTCTATGATTAAATCTGAGTGCACTTTTGTTTAGTTTGCAATTGCAGTAATGAAACTATTCATTTCAATTTCTAGCATGACATGTGTTTTGGCACATTTATACATATTGAGATATACTTCATGGGTATTGGCACGTTTATACATATCGAGATATACTTCATGGGCTTTGGCACGTTTATACATATCGAGATATACTTCATGGGCTTTGGCACGTTTATACATACTGTATTGAGATATAAGAATATAATATTGAGATAAACACTACGTGTACTAGTGGCTGTACAAGAATGTAACAACTCTTGTGTATATCTCAAAAAAAAAAAAAAAAAATATATATATATACTTCATGGGTTTTGGCATGTTTATACATATTGAGATATACTTCATGGGTTTTGGCACGTTTATACATATTGAAATATACTTCATGGGTTTTCAATGCTATGAGCATCACTGGGAAGATAATTATGAAGAGAAAATGCTGAGACTGTATGTCTTTGGATATACTGAGTACAGAAGCTTAGATGGGAAGAGCTCCAACACATCCTTTCATATAACTCGCTGCGTTTTGTACGCTATAATTCCCAGCGGACAAAATACGAGTTACTCTGAAAATGGTGGCCTCACAAACAACCTCGTTTCCTATGCGTATATTCGTTAGGTTAGATAGGTGACTTGGGCTCTCGCATTTTAGTACCCTGCATTTTATCCGTTGTGGTAACTCAAGAGAACTGGTTGAGTGGCCAGTGGTTACTGTGGCATGTTGAACAATGTGTTGATTTTACTTTACAGTAATAATATTGTAGTATTACATGTGTAGACTATGCCAAAGTGTACAGTTTAATCATATAATGCAGTATATTATCATCTCATTTTGCACTTGTATGGGGGTTGGAAGGGCTGGGTTAAATAGTCGAGAAATATAGTAAAAGAAGAAAAATTTTTTTTAAATAATAAAATATTACAACTCTCACTCTTTTATTATTCATATCCTCCACACTATATTAAACTGTATAGTACAGTGTCATGCATTAACAACTACCACACTTACCCTCAAAAGTTGTGCCTTGTGGTGGCGAGGG